CCACGTTGTGTAACCTACAAAACCTGGTCGACAAACGCTGCCGGAACAGAAAATGTAAGTGTGTCAGGCCTTCACCACGTTGTGTAACCTACAAAACCTGGTCGACAAACGCTGCCGGAACAGAAAATGTAAGTTTGTCAGGCCTTCACCACGTTGTGTAACCTACAAAACCTGGTCGACAAACGCTGCCGGAACAGTAAATGTAAGTTTGTCAGGCCTTCACCACGTTGTGTAACCTACAAAACCTGGTCGACAAACGCTGCCGGAACAGTAAATGTAAGTTTGTCAGGCCTTCACCACGTTGTGTAACCTACAAAACCTGGTCGACAAACGCTGCCGGAACAGTAAATGTAAGTTTGTCAGGCCTTCACCACGTTGTGTAACCTACAAAACCTGGTCGACAAACGCTGCCGGAACAGTAAATGTAAGTGTGTCAGGTCTTCACCACGTTGTGTAACCTACAAAACCTGGACGACAAACGCTGCCGGAACAGTAAATGTGAGTGTGTCAGGCCTTCACCACGTTGTGTAACCTACAAAACCTGGTCGACAAACGCTGCCGGAACAGTAAATGTGAGTGTGTCAGGCCTTCACCACGTTGTGTAACCTACAAAACCTGGACGACAAACAGAGATACCGGCTCAAATACCAAGAGGAGCAGACTTATTGAATGTCTAGTTGTGTCACTGTCCACTCGGTCCGTGTGTGCGTTCTGTCACGTGATTATCACCAAACACCTTTTCGACAGTTATTCTCCCATCAACAATAAACGTGGCTGCTGTCTTCTTAACCTTCTACGCTGAGTTGTGTCTTTCATCATCCGACTGAGCTACCAACCGAGATCCAACCGGTGCCAATGGACATATGTATGACCTTGCGGAAAGCATGTAGTTTTACCCCGAAGTTCAGATGGTTCTATCTGGTCTAGAATCGCCCATGTACATGCCTCCGCGATACAGCTCTTATAAGGTGGAGAAAACAACATTCACTCACTTTAAACACCTTAATATTGTTTTTAGCTATAATGTCAACATACCCTGATATTACAGTCAATTATTGAACGGATGTTCTCTTATGAATTTTTTTTTAATTTTATCTAACTTCGGTCAATCAGATTTTTATCTGCAACGTTTCCTGTATAATGCATCTATAAGTACACCGAGATTGTCCTATCAACACTGGCGTGATACATCACAACCACCTCGTGGCTCTCACGTTCAGTACACAAGCACGTGTGTAATGTATGTCCTTTCGATGTACCGAAAATGTAAAGGTTTACATGGCAAACCAGCCCACAGTGTTATGAAAATGTTATCTATTAATCGCCGTACAAATAGCGCTTAACCTGCACCAATACACACAATACGTCTTCGGACACGCGTGTTTGTTTACATCGACAGGAGACCCAACCCACCGTCCAGTCAACAATAATGTTATTGAAGACGCACGCTGTGTGTACCCTTATATGTTACCCCAAACACCCCAGCTTGAACCAATTCGCTCTACCCTATGAACCAGACGTCCCCCAACGGTTGCCAAAGGACAGAACAAGGCGTGGTACACATGGTACCAACGATAGCTGCGTGCGTTTATGAACGCAACTGTATCTCGTTTTCACACATATTGCAAAGAAGAAAGATACAGCAACTGTGTCTGCTGATAAAGCCTGCCGTGTACGCATTAGTATGTATAAAGGTAGTAATTGTTAAACCGAACATCAGAGTAGAACGTCGGTGTTGTTTGTTATCGGGAGAAAACCATGCCCTAAAACTTACCAAAACTGTTGCTAAAATGTCAATCTATTATCAAGAGGGAGATTGTTATTATATTTCTGCATATGTTGTCTGAATACTACTCAGCTTGTGAAGGGAATATTCCTGTTATTACAAGATATACAACACTTATTCCCTACTTCCTAATAGTTACTCACCATGCTACCCCTTTAGAGCTGCACTGATCTGTGTTACACAGTGACGCCTATGTTACTGAGACACAGTTCTAATGCTGCATTTAAACATTTGTGTTGTACAGTAGCTCCAATATTATTTGTTACACAATGGCGTCTATGTTATCCTATACTTTTAATGCTACATGCAATGATATGTGTTCTACAGTGGCGTCTACCCACGAGTGCAAGCGGACATGTCAGAAGAACGAACGCCCCCGGGTGTGTGTGTATAACTTCACCGTGGAGTGGTACAGAACACTCTCTAAGGTGAGAAAACAAGATCCTGAAGAAGTTAAGGACCACCCGCTTCTTTCATATTACCAAAGTCATTTGTCATGTCATTACATATTAACTACAGTTATATGAAAGGATCGGATGGTCTTTGACTTATTTTGAAAAATTGTTCCAACACCTCCTACAGACAAGATTATCATCTGATATATTTGTAGCTTAAATGATTTCTCCAAAAGAATACTTTCTAATAATGATTTACAGATGTCATTCCAATGTCCAACATGGGGACAACGTGTGAAGCCTACTCATGATGTCCCTCTCACATTTATGTATCATTCAGTGTGAATGTTTCAGGCATGCTATGATTGTCCATTCAACCACTCGGACTGTTTTCGGCCGGACTGTGTGTCCGGGGATGGGAGGATTAAACCCTTGATCGCCGTCAACAGACAGGTGCCCGGTCCATCTATTGAGGTCAGTGTGAACTTCTAACCTTAACTCCGATCTGATGGATGAACGAAAGCATTGACATATATATGCTGAGTAATACAGTCAAGCGAGGTATCAGAAGCTTACTATCTGGTTTGAATATTGTATTAAAGACGAAGAGCACTATACATGTATGCAATATTGATGTAGAACCTATGTATTATAATGAACAACCATTCATTCAGTAGTACGAATGTTCGTATATGCAACATAATGTAAAACCTTCAAAGCAATATAAGAAAGATATGAAAACAATAAAGAATAGCTATATATGTGTGTTATCGTGGCAGTGTATTATTATGAACCATTAATGGGATGCGCAGTGATGTATTTTTGACGATGAGCAATGGATGCATTATAATATAAACCTTGGAAGCGACATAAGCCACATATGCAGTGATGAGCCAAGCCAGACGTCCACATCAATGGCTTCGAGTATATGTCTCAGTAAAACACAGGTCGCCGATATACGTGTCTTGATGACACATTTAATGACAGGGAGATAAAGATGCACCTGCGGCCTCGGCCCGGTCAGACTACCTCATTGCTCGGGTCCTCGCGTCCTCGGGTCCTTGTTTTCGCATATTGACCTCGTCAAGAGTAATAATTTGTATATTGTTGAGGTCAAGATTGTCACGATTGTGAGCCACGCATGATAATTAAATCACTTCTATTCAAATAGTGGTGCCAGGGTGTCCCTATCGTCTGAAGATAGCAATTTTTCTGCGCGGACTTGCGTCCCTAACAGAACCCCATGATCGTGGGTTCGAATCGCAATTTCGCCCCGATTATGTTATCTAGGTTTATAAGCAGTATTCCCATGGGTTTTACAGAAGTGGAAACGCCCAGAACCAACATAATTATGAACTTCGGGCTTTCCTCCAAAATCAAGCTGACAGGCCGTAATATAATTGAAACACTGTTAAAAAAGAGGGGCAGCGTGGTCATGTGTTGTGACGTCACATACTCCTCTGTTGTAGGTGTGTGAGGGGGACTACGTGGTGGTGTGTTGTGACGTCACATACTCGTCTGTTGTAGGTGTGTGAGGGGGACCAAGTGGTGGTGTGTTATGACGTCACATACTCGTCTGTTGTAGGTGTGTGAGGGAGACCGCGTGATGGTGTGTTGTGACGTCACATACTCCTCTGTTGTAGGTGTGTGAGGGGGACTACGTGGTGGTGTGTTGTGACGTCACATACTCCTCTGTTGTAGGTGTGTTAGGGGGACTACGTGATGGTGTGTTGTGACGTCACATACTCCTCTGTTGTAGGTGTGTGAGGGGGACTACGTGGTGGTGTGTTGTGACGTCACATACTCCTCTGTTGTAGGTGTGTTAGGGGGACTACGTGATGGTGTGTTGTGACGTCACATACTCCTCTGTTGTAGGTGTGTGAGGGGATCTACGTGGTGGTGTGTTGTGACGTCACATACTCCTCTGTTGTAGGTGTGTTAGGGGGACTACGTGATGGTGTGTTGTGACGTCACATACTCCTCTGTTGTAGGTGTGTTAGGGGGACTACGTGGTGGTGTGTTGTGACGTCACATACTCCTCTGTTGTAGGTGTGTGAGGGGGACTACGTGGTGGTGTGTTGTGACGTCACATACTCCTCTGTTGTAGGTGTGTGAGGGGGACTACGTGGTGGTGTGTTGTGACGTCACATACTCCTCTGTTGTAGGTGTGTGAGGGGGACTACGTGATGGTGTGTTGTGACGTCACATACTCCTCTGTTGTAGGTGTGTGAGGGGATCTACGTGGTGGTGTGTTGTGACGTCACATACTCCTCTGTTGTAGGTGTGTTAGGGGGACTACGTGATGGTGTGTTGTGACGTCACATACTCCTCTGTTGTAGGTGTGTGAGGGGGACTACGTGGTGGTGTGTTGTGACGTCACATACTCCTCTGTTGTAGGTGTGTGAGGGGGACTACGTGGTGGTGTGTTGTGACGTCACATACTCCTCTGTTGTAGGTGTGTGAGGGGGACTACGTGGTGGTGTGTTGTGACGTTACATACTCCCCTGTTGTAGGTGTGTGAGGGGGACTACGTGGTGGTGTGTTGTGACGTCACATACTCCTCTGTTGTAGGTGTGTGAGGGGGACCGCGTGGTGGTGTGTTGTGATGTCACATACTCGTCTGTTGTAGGTGTGTGAGGGGGACCGCGTGGTGGTGTGTTGTGACGTCACATACTCCTCTGTTGTAGGTGTGTGAGGGGGACCGCGTGGTGGTGTGTTGTGACGTCACATACTCCTGTGTTGTAGGTGTGTGAGGGGGACCGCGTGGTGGTGTGTTGTGACGTCACATACTCCTCTGTTGTAGGTGTGTGAGGGGGACCGCGTGGTGGTGTGGGTGACCAATGATATGGAAGATGGTCAGGCGACCAGCATACACTGGCACGGACAACACCAAATGAGAACGCCATACTCTGACGGCGTTGGCCACATCACACAATGCAACATCGGCGTCAAAGAAACTTTCAAGTGAGTGTACATTTCATTTCAACCTGTTTATCTTATTAACATAACTGGCGATTAACCAGATGTTAAATTGAAAACGGCATTACTAGAGGACATTGTCTCAAAACGGATTCCCTCCCATGTCAATGAATATACAAACAGTTTCTTTATCAGCTGTAAGTGTATTGTGTTTTTTGCGTCTGAGGCGCCGCAGCTCGCGTCCCTTTGGAGGGCCAGAAACCTTTGATCGTGGGTTCGAATCCCGGTTCGATTATGTTTCTAGGCTTGTCAGCACCTTACCTTTGCTCATGGGTTTCACCAAAGTGGTAAACGTCTGAGACCTGCATCCTTTCGGGCTTTTCTCCCACAACAAGCTGATGCGCTGTCATACAACCGGAATACTGTCCAACGTCACGTGAAACCCCAATCACCCATTTACTATGATTTGGTGTAAAACTTCAAAACCCAACTTACTCACGCACCCATACGTTATTATCGAAATAATTGTTCCCTCTTTCAGTTACTCTTGACAAATACTCCCAATTCAAAACAGCCATAAGAGTCTGGCGGTTACACCCAGTCTTGTAATTGTACTGCGTAACTTTGATACTGTGTCACTGACAATTATAGTAACAGATCATTTCTAGATTGAACGCTCTAAGGTTGACGAATGATGAACCGCTGCGAAGAAATATGAAACATGTTTGATAATAACCGATTGTTCTCACCTTCTCTTGGATGGAATTATCTTTGTTTGGCATAGTCTATCTTTAAGAGAAGAGACCATTCGATATTTGGTTGAAACAATGTAATGTTGGTGATATTTGTTCTCTCTTTGTGATATTACGGGTACAACTAATCATGTATAGTTGACAGTGAAGAGGACTTCTGTTGAAAATCTGAAGATTTAGTTATAGTGTGATTACAAAATATAGGATTATGGCAATGATGTATTAGAGTAAGGTATTCAGAAGAATTATGTTTTACGTACAACCTGTATGAATACATTTCAGATATGAGTTCACAGCCTCGCCAGCAGGCACCCACTGGTACCATGGCCATACAGGCATGCAGCTTGCTGATGGCTTATTCGGTGCCTTCATTGTCCGCCAGCATCAGGACGTAGACCCCAACGGTGCTCTGTACGACGTCGATGACCACATCATGGTGGTGGGAGACTGGATACCAGTCACTTCAATGACGAGATACGTAGATCTGATGCACGACCTTTATGACCCTACTCTACCACAGGGACTGCACATCAATGGCAGAGCTCGCAACGTTGACGTTCCAAACAAGTTCAACATCGTCAAAACGAACCTGACCACAGCCAAGACGCCAATGGAGGTGTTTGAGGTGACAAGGGGTCAGAGGTACAGGCTTCGTGTGATTGGAGCGTCCGGCAACTGCCCACTACACGTGGCCGTGGAGAAGCATCAGCTGCAGGTGATCGGTAATGATGGAATGCCCGTCCAGCCAAGACCAGTCGATGTCTTCCTTGTCTTTCCAGGTGAGACCAAGCTTCGCCTTAAGTCCCTTTGTTTATTTCTGAACACCTTATATTTTAACTATAGTCACTTGTATATCATAAGCTGTCATGTTCTTATATTCTGACTAACATACTCTTGCTTGATTTAAATATTAATCTGTGATCTGTAACTAGTTAGTTTACTATCCTTTGAAGACAGGGACACACATAAGTTATGTAGCTATATAAAGTAATTACTTCTTCTAGTCACGACATGGCTGGAAAACTACCATCATTATATTTTCATCTCACTGTAACCACATCTTGGTAACGGGCCGAACTTTTTAGTATTTAATTTGTGTTTGTGACAAAATATTTTAGTTATTCAAAGGATACCCATCCTAAGTTGTTTGATAGGCATTACTAAGAAGTTGACGGATGACAAGGTAGACACAATTTTATGGATAACAACTTCTTTAATACTGTGAAAAGCGACGTTTCGGTATAGGTCCTTATACCGTTGTCAAGCAAGACTGAATGAGGAACATAGTACATAAAATATATATTAGGTGGAGGATTAACAGTAACAACAATTGAGTATAAATGAGTGGGATAACATTGGTAGGTGTTGATAACAAAGGGATGATACTGTCACAACACGATGGACAGAGAACACATAGGTGGAAGCCAATGGGACATGAAGCCAATTAAACAGGATATAAGTGATTATTGCTTGATGAGTTCATAGTAGGCGGATGGGATTAAATAACCTTGGTCTCTGTTGATTGATGGCTTTTGGCGGCGAATGTGGACTTCTGTCAGTTTTCTTTTAGTGAAATCATGGAGGTTGTTGGCGAGGATTTGGACGTTGTCCCAGTTGATGTTGTGATTAGGACAGTTGCTGATATGGTCCGAGATGGCTCATTTACTGTCGGATTTAATGGGGGAGGTTTTGTGTTCTTTCATTCTCGTGTTGATTGGGCGGGATGTTTCACGTTATGTGAACGTGAGTGTCGGTATGTGTGAGTGCCTGTAAATTCGAACGACAGTGTTGGTCTGTGTGAGTGTCTGTTAATGTGAACGAGAATTTTGGTCTGTGTGAGTGTCTGTTAATGTGAATGTGAGTGTCGGTATGTGTTAGTGCCTGTTAATGTGAACGACAGTGTTGGTCTGTGTGGGTGTCTGTTAATGTGAACGAGAATTTTGGTCTGTGTGAGTGTCTGTTAATGCGAACGAGAATTTTGGTCTGTGTGAGTGTCTGTTAATGCGAACGACAGTGTCGGTATGTGTGAGTGCCTGTTAATGTGAATGTGAGTGTTGGTCTGTGTGGGTGTCTGTTAATGTGAACGACAGTGTCGGTATGTGTGAGTGCCTGTTAATGTGAATGTGAGTGTTGGTCTGTGTGGGTGTCTGTTAATGTGAACGACAGTGTCGGTATGTGTGGGTGTCTGTTAATGTGAATGTGAGTGTTGGTCTGTGTGGGTGTCTGTTAATGTGAACGACAGTGTCGGTATGTGTGAGTGCCTGTTAATGTGAATGTGAGTGTTGGTCTGTGTGGGTGTCTGTTAATGTGAACGACAGTGTCGGTATGTGTGGGTGCCTGTTAATGTGAATGTGAGTGTTGGTCTGTGTGGGTGTCTGTTAATGTGAACGACAGTGTCGGTATGTGTGAGTGCCTGTTAATGTGAATGTGAGTGTTGGTCTGTGTGGGTGTCTGTTAATGTGAACGACAGTGTCGGTATGTGTGGGTGTCTGTTAATGTGAATGTGAGTCCTACCATCCACGCACACACATCCCGAATATAACAACCTTGTACCCCACCCACAGAAATGAAATTCAGTTTGTGTCACCTAGATGAAGTAGGGAATGAATACCATGATGTTCCACATCGTACCCACACCCTGTCCTTCAAGGGTAAATGTTGACTTACTGGTGTTCACCAACCGCCCCCTGTATGGGAAAGAGTTTAGAGACGCAACCGACTATTGGACGCTTTGTAAATATCACTGACACATATAGCCAGTCATGCAAATGGTTGACTGTCACATTGCGCCGGGAAGATATGTGGGTTTCAATAGGGGACGAACACACAATGCAGTATAGACCGGCAACACTCCTTGCCTACCTTGTTCCTCTATGTGTCGGTGCCCTGTGCAATATCAAGTGTATCAACACTTTGGCCATTGACGGAAGAACCGCGGAAACATCACCCGGCCACACCAACCGTATAGCATCTTTTGCTATAACTCAGTTAGCTTTTAATTCGCTGAAACGGGATATTTTATAACCCTGTGAGATTTTCAATGTAAACTTGTCCTGACTTGTTTACGTTCGGTGGGTTGTATAACTAATATTATTACTTATAGATATATTTAAATCCCTTTGGTGAATACTCGGTTGTATATTGTTGATCAGAATACAAGAAGGTATGCATTTAAGGGTGTATCTGTTGGACTGACGGGGTGGCAGACAGACATGTATACATAAATACAGACAGACGGGTATACTGATATACCCTCATACAGACATACATACAGACAGACGGGTATACTGATATACCTTCATACAGACATACATACAGATAGACGGGTATACTGATATACCCTCATACAGACATACATACAGACAGACGGGTATACTGATATACCTTCATACAGACATACATACAGACAGACGGGTATACTGATATACCCTCATACAGACATACATACAGACAGACGGGTATACTGATATACCTTCATACAGACATACATACAGACAGACGGGTATACTGATATACCCTCATACAGACATACATACAGACAGACGGGTATACTGATATACCCTCATACAGACATACATACAGACAGACGGGTATACTGATATACCCTCATACAGACATACATACAGACAGACGGGTATACTGATATACCCTCATACAGACTTACATACAGACGTATATACAGAAACAGACCGACCGACAGATAAACAGACAGGCCGACAAGTATACAGATATACAGACAGGCACACAATCAGACAGACAGAGTGGCAGGCAAGACAGACAGACATACTATTCAATTCTTACATCGAAATCTTCCATCATACTAGTTATCTGGTCAATATGGTACGAGTCAGTAAACATATAACCGTCGTCTGTGTGAGTGTCTGTTAATGTGAACGTGAGTGTTGGTGTGTGTGAGTGTCTGTTAATGTGAACGTGAGTGTTGGTCTGTGTGAATGTCTGTTAATGTGAATGTGAGTGTCGGTATGTGTGAGTGTCTGTTAATGTGAACGTGAGTGTTGGTGTGTGTGAGTGTCTGTTAATGTGAATGTGAGTGTTGGTCTGTGTGAGTGTCTGTTAATGTGAATGTGAGTGTCGGTATGTGTGAGTGTCTGTTAATGTGAATGTGAGTGTTGGTCTGTGTGAGTGTCTGTTAATGTGAATGTGAGTGTTGATCTGTGTGAGTGTCTGTTAATGTGAACGTGAGTGTCGGTATGTGTGAGTGTCTGTTAATGTGAATGTGAGTGTTGGTCTGTGTGAGTGTCTGTTAATGTGAATGTGAGTGTCGGTATGTGTGAGTGTCTGTTAATGTGAACATGAGTGTTGGTGTGTGTGAGTGTCTGTTAATGTGAACGTGAGTGTTGATCTGTGTGAGTGCCTGTTAATGTGAATGTGAGTGTCGGTATGTGTGAGTGTCTGTTAATGTGAACATGAGTGTTGGTGTGTGTGAGTGTCTGTTAATGTGAACGTGAGTGTCGGTGTGTGTGAGTGTCTGTTAATGTGAATGTGAGTGTTAGTATGTGTGAGTGTCTGAAAATGTGATACTGTACCTGTCAGTGTGTTTGGACATACACTAAAAATTATACTAAGATTCACCCTACAGTTGACAAATTCAACTTACAATAGAAATAACACGAAAGCATGTTTTCTCACTATTCCGTCCATTGCTTCAAGTAGGATCTGTTTGATGATACTTGGACCAAGGCTCCAAAGCTTCTTTACAATTCGAAAGTTGCTTGGACGTAAGGGGTTAAGGTCATGATTGTCAGTTTTTAATGTGATAGAAGCCGTTTACACTAAACATGAGCCCCCCCCCCCCCCCCCCCCCCCCCCCCCGGACTTTAGAGCTGAGATATGGGTCGGGGTTACTATGGAGTATGATATAAAAAGTTATGTAATGTAGTAACCTTCTCAACATATAATTAATACAATTCATATCCCACATCTATTTATGTCGGACTCCCACACCCTCCGGTCGCCTCCCTCGGATCTTCTCCACAAACAGTATCAAATAGCATTACTCAATGAGTAAATTAATGCTTAACATTACTAAACAATCATTGAGAATTACCAAGGGAGATCACTCTAAAAGACCGGCAGATACGGCTGAGGGATGTGATAGAGCTCTGGTTTCACACCCCTGTAATATGGGTATTGAGACTTGTGATGCTTATACAAATCGCGCCATGACATCAAAGAGTATATGAGCTGTGTATAGGGGACTAACGTGATCTCATCGGTTTTTATTGACATGATTCAGCTTTACCTGTTTAAACCACACATTATGACATTAATTATATGCACCACCTTCAGTCAGTATACACTATCCTGTTGCTTACACATCATATCTTCACAAACTATTCCACGTTCAATACCACAGAGTGAAGGCATAAAGCCACCCTGACACGATTTTTGTCCCTGCAATGCCGCGCAATGCGTCGCAAGGCGTGCCATTTCGGTGGTACGCAGCGGAGCGTGAAGCCGCGTTTGCGCCCTGTTCGCGCACTGTACACGCATAAGTTACGCAATGTCTACGCAATGCACGGCCAAAATGGGCCGCTTTGGCACGCACTGACACGCAATGGCACGACTTGTTTACGTATAGGTTAAGTATTGTTCGCGCATTGTTCACGTCTTCCGTACCGCAATGTCCCGCAGTGTCACATACGACACGCATAGTTCCCGCTGTTTTCCCGCATCTCCACGCATTGCCCCGACGACTTCGCGCATGCATTTGTCACGCTTGGCGGTGCGCTTCAAATCTCGGTATTGGCGTATGTATATAAACTCAAAATAGAAGAGACGCTTCATTCCTCGACTCTCTGTGGACGATACAACATGCTGAATACCAGAGACACTGCTATTGCAGAACAGAGAAGGTGTATATATCTGGCAGCTGCAGAACTATTATTTCTTGAAGAGCAGGAGAAAAGGCAGCAAGAGCCAGAGGAAGAGCATGAGAAAGAAGAAGAGACAACCCTAACTAGAACAAGGAAAGCAAGGACAGTGTGAGATAGGCAATGAGTTCGGACATTATGATCAGCTATTGACAGGACTCCATAAGGAAGATCCCAGAGGTTACAGGAATTACCTGAGAATGACACCTGACCTGTTCCAAGAGATGGTGGAGAAGTTAACCCCTCACCTTAAGAAGGAGACCACATTCATGAGAGAACCACTTGAAGTTGGACTCAAGCTGGCTGCCACCCTCCGCTTCCTAGTCACTGGAAAGTCCTATCCAAGTCTACAGTACAGCTTCAGAGTTGAAGCAAGTACAATCTGCAAGTTCTTACCAGAGGTGTGCAAAGCCATTATTGAGGTCTACAAGGACGAAGTGCTCAGCTGCCCCAAAACTCAAGAAGAGTGGAAGGAGGTTGCTGAGATGTTCAGCTCCAGATGGAACTACCACAACTGTCTAGGGGCCCTGGACGGAAAGCAAGTTGCTATGAAGAGGCAACCCAAAGCAGGCTCCCTCTATTATAATTACAAGAGCTTCCACAGCATTGTACTCATAGCTGTTGCAGATGCTTGGTATAAGTTCTTGTATGTTGATGTTGGGGCAGAGGGTGGTGCCCCATTGAGCCAGCCTTTCTGTCTCTTGTCATACAACTGTTGGTAGTCTTTTACATATTCTGCTAATTTCATGGTACCCTCATCTGTCCACTTATACTCAGGAATTTCTTCCTTGGACACTCTGATTCTCTTCTTCTGTTTTACTGTGGACTCTTCTCCACTTGACGGTTCTATTTATGTCTCTGTAAAAACTTCAAGTTGTGTCTGTGGAACAACATCCACACTTGAGCAGGAGGAAGGAGGAGAAAGATCCCGCTCCCTGTCTGCAATCTCTGTCTCTTTCTCTGTCTCTGGCCTGTCTTTTTTGCACTGGTCTTCCCCTTCTTCTACGGACTTTCTCCTTGTAAGGCATGTTGTCCGTGTGCTGGCAAGTTGCAGAATGACCAGGACCCGCTTACATACGCACTGACGCGATCGCCGTCGTCGCTTATTGGTCGGGAACTACGCGCAAACAATGCGTAAACACTTCGTGAGCAGTTCGTGCATTGCGCGAATGGTTCGTGACGTGCGCGACCTATGCGTGAGCTGGGCGTTCCATGATTACGTGAACAACTCGTGACAACACCCTAACGACCGCACGATCACTCCGCGACACGCTCGAATGCGTGAACGAACAACGTGGACAGTTCGTGACCCATGCGTGGCATGGCGTGTCAGAGCGTGTAGTGGATTCCCATTGCACGCATTGACACGCACCGTCGGCAGTGTTCGCGCCGAGTTCGTACAGTGTTCACGCATGGTTCACGCACATGGCACGAAAATTGATGCGTGCCAAATTTTTGAACATTTTGAAATTCTCTCTACGACATGGCACGCATCCCCGCACCCTTCACACTCTCCTCGCGCTCTTTCCCGAAGACTTTAATCATTCGCACGCCGAAGTGCGAGCCATTGCGGGAACAAAAATCGTGCAAGTGTCAGGGTGGCTTAACACTTGTTCACAAACGGCTGGGAAACCTTATATACCTTCTGAACACGAACCATCTCTAACTTCTGAAGTCGATAGTTCACCGTCAGTTTGACGTCTCCTCTCTCTGGACCCTCAGTGGTATATGTCATACTTGAGTGTAAGCATGATATAACCTTAGAACTATCACATTCAGTTCCGTTTGTCTATTTGATGTTTCTATTGCAGGTGAGCGATACGACTTCCTGTTGTTTGCGAACCAGGACGTGGGCAACTATTGGGTCAAGGTCGTCGGTTTGGGGGACTGCCGAACGGCTGATGTGTCAGCGGCAGCCATCTTGAGATATGCGGGTGCACCAGATGAAGACCCCAGCACTGCACTCATGTTCTCGACTGTTGGCGGGGTGAGTCGACAGTTGTTGGTAATAACTTCATGAGCTTATTAAGGCAAATGAATTCGGCCTTGGTTGCAATGTAATAGTGTAACTATAAAGAGTTCCCTTAGGGTTCTGCTGATCAAGTGATATAATTGTAAAATAGAAGGGGAATAGTTTGAGAGCTAATGGAAAATAGGAAAAAAACACGAGCCGCCCGTCTATCTGTGATTTGCGTTGTTATTATCAAATGCAAAATAGTAAACTTGCCCCCATCCAATTTGTATACTAGTGCCCAGTATCACTGAGATGACACGCTTCTGACTGTTAATGAGATAACGCGCCTTTGACTGTTACTGAAGTGACACGCCTCTGACTGTAAATGAGATAACACGCCTCGTAATGTTACTGAGATAACACACCTCTGACTGTTACTGAGATAACACGCCTCTGACTGTTACTGAGATAACACACCTCTGACTCTTCCAGTGGTGACACGCCTATGACTGTAACTGAGGTAACACACCTCTGACTCTTACTGATATAACACGCCTCTGACTCTTACTGATATAACACGCCTCTGAATGCTACTTAGATAACACGCCTCTGACTCCTACTGAGATAACACGCCTCTGAATGTTACATGGATAACACGCCTCTGACTCTTACTAAGATAACACGCCTCTGACTCTTACTAAGATAACACGCCTCTGTCTGTTACTGAGATGACACGCCTCTGACCCTTACAGTGGTGACACGCCTCTGATTGCTACTGAGATGACACGCCTCTGACTGTTACTGAGATAACACGCCTCTGACTGTTACTGAGATAACACGCCTCTGATCGCTACGGAGATGACACGCCTCTGACTCCTACAGCGGTGACACGCCTCTGTCTGTTACTGAGATAACACGCCTCTGACACTTACAGCGGCGGCACGCCTCTGACTGTTACTGAGATGACACGCCTCTGACCCTTACAGTGGTGACACGCCTCTGACTGTTACAGTGATGACACGACTCTGACTGTTACAGTGATGACACGCCTCAGACTGTTACTGAAATGACACGCCTCTGACTGTTGCAGGTGATGTTAAATCCAGTCCCGATGCAAGATTCCGAGTTTTACGGGAAGGATCACAGTTGGCTCCGCCCTGTCGATCTGCGTTATGCCAGAGACGTCAACCTGACACAACAGACAGTGGATACCAGGCTGTATATAGGTAGGAATTATTGGTCTGACACAACAGACACTGGATACCAGGCTGTATATAGGTAGGAATTATTGGTCTGACACAACAGACAGTGGATACCAGGCTGTATATAGGTAGGAATTATTGGTCTGACACAACAGACAGTGGATACCAGGCTGTATATAGGTAGGAATTATTGGTCTGACACAACAGACAGTGGATACCAGGCTGTATATAGGTAGGAATTATTGGTCTGACACAACAGACACTGGATACCAGGCTGTATATAGGTAGGAATTATTGGTCTGACACAACAGACAGTGGATACCAGGCTGTATATAGGTAGGAATTATTGGTCTGACACAACAGACAGTGGATACCAGGCTGTATATAGGTAGGAATTATTGGTCTGACACAACAGACACTGGATACCAGGCTGTATATAGGTAGGAATTATTGGTCTGACACAACAGACACTGGATACCAGGCTGTATATAGGTAGGAATTATTGGTCTGACACAACAGACAGTGGATACCAGGCTGTATATAGGTAGGAATTATTGGTCTGACACAACAGAGTGGATACCAGGCTGTATATAGGTAGGAATTATTCGACCAACACTTTCACTGACTCGACCAACACTTTCACTTTCTCGACCAATGCTTCCACTGAATTTACCCGCATTTTAACTTTCTCGTCCAACACTTTCACTTTTTCGACCAACGCTTTCACTGACTCGCCCAACTCTTTCACTTTCTCGACCAATGCTTCCACTAAATTTACCTGCTCTTTCACTTTCTCGACCAACTCTTTCACTTTCTCGACCAATGCTTCCACTAAATTTACCTGCTCTTTCACTTTCTCGACCAACTCTTTCACTTTCTCGACCAATGCTTCCACTAAATTTACCTGCTCTTTCACTGACTCGGCCAACAATTTCACTGACTCGACCAACACTCTCACTTTCCAGACCAACGTTCCCATTGAATTTATCCGCTCTTTCACTTTCTCGACCAACTCTTTCACTTTCTCGACCAATGCTTCCACTAAATTTACCTGCTCTTTCACTTTCTCGACCAACTCTTTCACTTTCTCGACCAATGCTTCCACTAAATTTACCTGCTCTTTCACTGACTCGGCCAACAATTTCACTGACTCGACCAACACTCTCACTTTCCAGACCAACGTTCCCATTGAATTTACCCGCTCTTTCACTTTCTCGACCAACACTTTCACTTTCTCGACCAATGCTTTCACTTCTCGACCAATGCTTTCACTGAATCTTACCGATCGTCACTGACTTGATTAACGCTTCCACTGAATTTACCCACTCTTTCGCTTTCTCGACCAATGCTTTCACTTTCCCGACCAACACTCCCACTGAATTTACCCGCTCTTTAACTTTCTCGACCAACACTTTCACTTTTTCGACCAATGCTTTCACTTTCTCGACCAATGCTTTCACTGACTCAAACCGATCTTTCACTGACTTGATTAAAGCTTCCACTGAATTTACCCACTCTTTCGCTTTCTCGACCAACACTTTCACTTTCTCGACCAACGCTTTCACTTTTTCGACCAATGCTTTCACTGACTCTAACCGATCTTTCACTGACTTGATCAACGCCTCTACCCGATCTTTCAGGTGAGTCTAAGAACACTTTCTTCTGCCTCCCTCCTTTATTCTGTTTATTCTGTTACAGGAATGGAGTTCAACAACAACGACAACCAGAAATACAACAATAAGAAGCTATATTCAACATCGGATATTCCACCCAGAAAAGGACATTTTACACCCGTGATTGATAATGTATCCTTCCAAGAAATTACAATAACACACTTATGCAGTTATGAGTTATCCAGTTGGAAATAAAATCAAATTCTTTTCAGTTGATGCCCGCGGTATATTGAATGTAAGCATTCATTATAACACTGAGCATTGAAGAAATATTAAACAAAGTCAGCAAATCATCTTAACGCATGCGCAGATAACCTTCTTCCTGCCGCCCATCCCATTACTGTCTCAGCCGGAGGACGTTGATGACTCGTGGTTCTGTAACAGATCAACTGTGACGGACTCCGACAAGTGTCTGACGGATCTGTGTCTGTGTACACACACGCTCAGGTTTAAGCAAAACGAGGTCAGTTGGTTGATTTTTCACTAATCCCATACTGGGACGACGTGCGATTTGTTCTCGAAATCAGTCATGCATGTAGGTATTTCAATGAGCATTCTTGCTAGCACTGCTAGTTGGAATATGGGCATCCAATACAATTGAGGGGCTATTCACATGGGACGAACAATTTCTGGTGTATTTGAAAAGACATCACTGTCAGCTACATATCGTATTTCGTCATTAAAACGCTGCCTGTTGAAACGCAGAGGTCATTTCGTGTCCTCGGCGAAGCTGTCAGCATAATTTGTGTTAACAAAGGAGAGCCTAGTCCATCTTTGAAGTGTAGCATGTTTACAACTTTACACATGGTAATACCATTCAGAACATTCCCAGTTGACACGTGCTGTGACTACATCAACCAGTTCCAACACTGTAGTCGTATATCTCACATGGCAGCAGACCCTACTGTGCGTCTGCGTCCCGACACTTGTGTGAGATCAAAATATCCGCACGTTTTCTCCTCTAGGGTTATATTTGAATATGACCAGAAACCTTAATACAAATACTGTCTGTCCCTTATAGTGTTGTGCACAACAAAGACATTAAGTGGTCGCATTTTTGTAGTAGTGGTTGTGGTAGTTGAGTAGTAGTTGTAGTGGTGGTAGTAGTGGTGGTTGTAGTGGTACTAGTGGTAGTGGTGGTGGTTGTAGTGGTAGTGGTAGTAGTTGTTGTACTGGGAGTGGGAGTGAGAGTGGGTGAGATCACAAGACATTGACGTTGTCAGTTATTAATTAGTTCCTTTTCTGTTTACTTCAGATCGTAGAGCTGGTTATCATAAACGAAGCAAAGCCATTCACAGAATTAGGCCACCCAATGCACCTGCACGGCCATAGCTTCTACATCATGGGAGAAGGGAAGGTGAGAGAGGCAGAACAGGACTTTTGTGTTACCAAGAATGATGGCATGTTGATATTTTAATATATGGCATCTATATTGGGAAAATGACCATGTTTGGCCAATATTAGGTGATCTTTGTTGTATCTGGTGGTACTCAGCGATGTCCGACTTATAAAAAACAAAAAGCAAATTCCTTTGACATTTTAAGGATGACACCAAAGTTTCTCCAAAATGACCTTAAACATCATCCCTCATCCATGGATGTAACTAATACTTGGCATTGGTGTTTACACCGATGATACAGCAAGGGTAATTATCAGATCTATTCAAGAGGTTCTGCTTGTGTCCTGCTGGCCACATCATACACAACGGGGCACACTGACGTGTTCAACGTGAAAAAAAACACCCACATTATTCTAAAATGTGTACCAGAACAGCTATTGCATCGTGCTACCAGTCTTAATCTTGTTCTATTTTAATTAACATGTTCTAGTTTAACAAAACGTCAACAAGCCGGGCTGAAGTGATGCGTCTTGACCAGGAGGGGCAGATCCCCCGCAATTACATCAACCCCCCTTACAGGGACACCATCAACGTACACGACGCCGCTTATGTCATCCTCAGATTTCAGGCCAATAACCCAGGTACATGTCGTGTTATAACGTGACTTTATTGACACGCTATACTTCATTATAAACATCGTTTTACTGAGAACTATTTCGTCGTGACTTCCAGAAACTATAGCATTCATGGTACTATTCCTATTTGCCCACCATGGCGTTGACGTATGGCAATAACTACGTGTTCTTCTTTCAGGCTTCTGGTTCTTCCATTGTCACACTGACAGTCATCTGGCCCAGGGGAAGGCCCTGCTGGTGCAGATAGGAGAATACAAGGACTTCCCTCCTATCCCCTCCACCTTCCCCAAGTGTGGGGGGTGGGGCTACTCTAACGCCAAGAGGAAGAAGGAGGACCGCCCGTGTGTCACAAGTGGAGCTGCTCAACACTCTGCCGGTTTCCTAGCGGCCATCTCTGTAGCAATGGTTGCATGCAGGAGTATTGGCGCCATGATTCACAACTACCTCTGACTGTACATTATGAACATCTCAAACTTATTTTATAATTTCCCCAAAATGTTTATTTCTTTACTTGCGTTTTTTACAAGTCCTTCGCCAATTAGTTTTCATTTTATGATTATAGAAATGGGTTCGTAGAAAAATGCTGTTGTCAAAAAAGGAAGAAGGCATGCTAACCTATCCTCAATGTTTATTCTTGCCGCCATCTACGTGACGTAGTATTGAGTATGTTAAGAATTGCAGATATATAGTTATGATCAAATGACGACCGGTCGTCCATGTCATTGTTGCTTTCGGCAGACCTGTCCTTCCCCCGGGACTCATGTGTGTGACGAGGGTACACATATCAATTGAGTTTTGGCATTGATACATTTCTTTTATCGCATTGATAAGATTTCTTTTTTCGCAATAATATTATTTGATTTTTTTTACATTTAGAAAAAGATAGAATATTGTTAGGTGTCCGGTTCGAGTTCAAGTAGCTGACCATCTCTCAGAAATAGTGTTAGTTTGGTCTTCGCCTATTGAATCGCTTGGCTTCAGGCGATCGACGACAGATAGCGGATCTAACTGCAATTCCTGTTTTAGCTGAGCCCGGGCTGGGCCGTGGTCTTGACATTCCAATAACAAGTGAACAATGGATTCAGGTTGATTACAAGTCTAAGGCGTCTGAGAACATGAGAATGTGATCTTACTCTTGAATTTATCTACATGACTAAGATCACATTTCACGTCACCATTTCATCATCACGTTACAGGCAGGTTACTTGTGCACATGTGATAGAGGACGCTCTTCTGTCAGAACTGTGCATATTTTTATACCATGTTTATATAGGATGTTTACATTTTACCGATTTAAACGGGACTAATCCAAGCATTTAGGCCAGGTGTTGTTGGGCTCTTGTCATTTGATCGTTGAGCTGTAACAGTTTCAACAAGCTGGCCCAAACAGTGCTCACATATATATATATATATATATTCTTAAGTATTTTTTGGTAAATAAAAATATATAGACGTGAAATGCTGCGTTAATTATTTCAATCTTCAATAATGAGAAATCCTACACAGACAAGTCAAAACCAAATTAGAATCATATATTTCTATCATTATCATTAGTGGTAGTCTTATTATATTTGTTTTTATTAATTTTGTTACCTATCCAATGACCTTAAAAATGTATTTTGGTATCAGCCTAGACAAAAATAAACTTTCTATCATTCTGCTATATTCAACGATAGCATCACCATACATGGAATAAACTATAACAAGAGTATACAGTTTCTAAAAACATTTTATCATCCCCGTAATTTAGGTAGCCAAAGGTAGCTACCTTTACAATGTGCCTACACCCACCAGTACGATAACAGAACATCCTATCATCGTCAACATTATGCTTATATTTTCATCACACATCATCAATCAGATTCCTCAATTGTCCATTGTCCTATTTGAAACACACAAAGGGATTTTGCTGTGTGTCTCTCTTCAGCACAATACTGTGTGTTTGTAATCTCTCCGCTCACACCCTCAGCTGTGCTCAGTGTTATTACCTCAGAGTCAGAGTTTCTGGGTCAGCGATTGAAATGTTTTTATTTCTAGGTAGTTCCAAATGGCTACCAAAACATTCGAAAGAAGATTCTGCAATCGTTTTAAAGTGACTTGTTTATTTCTGATGATTGAAACATTTTGAGATATAGATACTCAGATGCAGATAATAGTCTTTTCAGTCCTGCGTCTGCTTATTAACGGACAACAAAATGATAAAATATTAAAAGCAACATACAGAACAAGTAAATAAATGACATGTATATGCATTTATAAAAAAAAAAATTCACAAGATGATGAATATGAAATAGTATAATGGACTGTGCTGTAGAAACAATACTATTAAGAACACATGAATACGATACAATTACCTGTAAAAACACAATTAGCGTTTGTATTATAACATTGATTATTGAGCAACATCAATACGTGTTCTTCTCCGACGTCCGCACAGTCCCCAAAACAGCAGCCTATTGTTTCATTCAGTCTTACCAGGCACAGCGTGTTTCTTTTTAATACCGCTACCAGGCACAGCGTGTTCTTTTTAAATACTGCTACCAGGCACAGCGTGTTCTTTTTAAATACTGCTACCAGGCACAGCGTGTTCTTTTTAAATGCTGCTACCAGGCACAGCGTGTTCTTTTTAAATACTGCTACCAGGCACAGCGTGGTTTTTTAAAATACTGCTACCAGGCACAGCGTGTTCTTTTTAAATACTGCTACCAGGCACAGCGTGTTCTTTTCAAATACTGCTACCAGGCGCAAGGTGTTCTTTCTAAAAACTGCTACCAGGCACAGCATGGTTTTTTTAAATACTGCTACAAGGCACAGCGTGTTCTTTTTAAATGCTGCTATCAGGCACAGCGTGTTCTCTTTAAATACTGCTACCAGGCACAGCGTGGTTTTTTTAAATACTGCTACCAGGCACAGCGTGTTCTTTTTAAATACAGCTACCAGGCGCAAGGTGTTCTTTCTAAAAACTGCTACCAGGCACAGCGTGTTCTTTTTAATACTGCTACCAGGCACAGCGTGTGTTTTTTAAATACTGCCACCAGGCACAGCGTGTTCTTTTTAAATATTGCTACCAGGCACAGCGTGTTCTTTTTAAATACTGCTACCAGGCACAAGGTGTTCTTTCTAAATACTGCTACCAGGCACAGCGTGTTCTTTTTAATACCGCTACCATGCACAGCGTGTTCTTTTTAAATGCTGCTACCAGGCACAGCGTGTTCTTTTTAAATACTGCTACCAGGCACAGCGTGTTCTTTTTAAATACTGCTACCAGGCACAGCGTGTTCTTTTCAAATACTGCTACCAGGCGCAAGGTGTTCTTTCTAAAAACTGCTACCAGGCACAGCGTGTTCTTTTTAATACTGCTACCAGGCACAGCGTGTTTTTTTTAAATACTGCTACCATGCACAGCGTGTTCTTTTTAAATACTGCTACCAGGCACAGCGTGTTCTTTTTAAATACTGCTACCAGGCACAAGGTGTTCTTTCTAAATACTGCTACCAGGCACAGCATGTTCTTTTTAATACTGCTACCATGCACAGCGTGTTCTTTATAAATGCTACTACCAGGCTCAGCGTGTTCTTTTTAAATGCTGTTACCAGGCACAGCAGGTTCATTTTTAATACTGCTACCAGGCAAAGCGTGTTCTTTTTAAATACTGCTACCAGGCGCAAGGTGTTCTTTCTAAAAACTGCTACCAGGCACAGCGTGTTTTTTTTAAATACTGCTACCAGGCACAGCATGTTCTTTCTAAATACTGCTACCAGGCACAGCGTGTTCTTTTTAAATACTACTATCAGGCACAGCGTGTTCTTTTTAAATGCTGCTACCAGGCACAAAGTGTTCTTTTTAAATGCTGCTACCGCTGTCCGCACAGTCCCTAAAACAGCAGCCTATTGTTTCATTCAGTCTTACCAGGCACAGCGTGTTCTTTTTAAATACTGCTACCAGGCACAGCGTGTTCTTTTTAAATACTGCTACCAGGCACAGCGTGTTCTTTTTAAATACTGCTACCAGGCACAGCGTGTTCTTTTTAAATACTGCTACCAGGCACAGCGTGTTCTTTTTAAAAACTGCTACCAGGCGCAAGGTGTTCTTTCTAGATACTGCTACCAGGCACAGCGTGTTCTTTTTAAATACTGCTACCAGGCACAGCGTGTTCTTTTTAAATATTGCTACCAGGCACAAGGTGTTCTTTCTAAATACTGCTACCAGGCACAGCGTGTTCTTTTTAATACTGCTACCAGGCACAGCGTGTTCTTTTTAATACTGCTACCAGGCGCAGTGTGTTCTTATAAATACTGCTACCAGGCACAGCGTGTTCTTTTTAAATACTGCTACTAGGCACAGCGTGTTCTTTTTAAATACTGCTACCAGGCACTATTATTTGAAGTATTCATACTCTCGATCACTATACACTGAGAACATGTGTAATACAATGAATCTTTAAATGGTGGAGAGTTCATTCACTCACTTACTCACACACACACTCACATACTCACACACTTACACACACACTCACTCACACACACGCTCACTCACACACATACACTCACTCACACACACACACGCACACACACACACCTTCACTCACTCAAACACACGTGCACACACACACACACACACACACACACACACACACACACACACTCACTCTCACACACACTCACACACTCTCACTCACTCTTCACGTCCAATGGGATTCATTGAGGCAGTAAAATATCCTATATAGAGGTCACCTAACGTTCACCTCGAGACATGTTCACTGCAGGACCTGGCCCTCGATGTTCCCTGTGCATCTAAGAATAGACACACAATACACTGGCTTTATTTGTGCAAGGGTGCTCTCATTGAACACGACTCTGTGCTAGTGCTATCCCAAGCTGGGAGGGAGGGGAAATAACTACCGTATCGCCACAGTGTAAATCTATAGCATAGTATGTGTAGCATAATATATAGAGGTACAAATTAAAAACCCTAAAGAAGTGTCTTTTGTTCTTTTGCTTTTAATATTTTATTTTATATATTTATTGTTGATTATTTTTTATCTATTTGATTATCTATGTTTTCACAAATTAAACTAGATTATTTGACGTGTGTCATTTTCATTTCATACTTAATAATATTTCTCTATAAAATACCGGCCCAGTCGTCAAAGGCGCCGCAATTCGCTGTGCAGAGTTGCGTTCCTAGGGCACGCCCGAAAACCTATGATCGTGGGTTCGAAACCCGGTTCGCCCCGATTATGTTTCTAGGTTTGTCAACACCATACCCGTACTCGTGGGTTTCATCGAAGTGGTAAACGTCTGAGACCTGTGGGCTTTCCTCCCACATTAAGCTGACACGCCGTGATATAACTGGAATACTGTTTAAAGCGGCGTTAAACCCAACTCACTCACTCACTATAGATACCGTTCACTTGAGTTACTTATGAAAAGCATCCCCTTTGGGATCGACTGTTGACTACATATCCCACTATATGGAGGTTACCCAAAGTTCATCTCAACACGTGTTAGTCATGGAAATGAAAAAGTACCTCCGCTCCAGATGCTGAGAGTAGGGACACAATGCCCTAGGTCTATGTCCTCTCACAGGACATGGTTCACATGCTAATGCTAACTATACTCAACCCTGTAACACCAATATTTTAGTGTATTTTTTAAACAAGTAAAGTTTGGTTTTCAATATTGTAGTACATGTATGGAATCAAGTCACAAAAACGCAACTGCTACAGAAAAACATGCATTCCATGCAAAAGTTGACTTTAATGCAAGCCCCATGCAGTTCACTACCCAAGAATGGGTATAAAAACATGTGCGTTAACGGGATTCCATATGCATTGTTTAGCATCGTGCTGACAACAACCACTCAGAAAAACAACACAATTACGCAATTCTTCAACATTACGAAATGCCACGCCTGTCCGAAAATGAGCGTCTACTAGCCATTGGTATGCTTGAAGCAGGATCGAGTCAACGTGATGTTGCAAGACAATGTAACGTCCACAGAAACACCATTTGGTGTTTATGGCAACGTTGGCAACAGACGAATGCAGTCAGAGACCATCCTCGGAGTGGCAGGCCACGCGTAACCAATAATCGACAAGACAACTGGATTCGAACAACACAACTCCGAAATCGATTCCAGCCAGCAACAGTGACAGCAAGACGTCAACCACGTGTTCCACAGACACTCCGGGAACTTCGAAACATGCTCCAGCAGATATGGACAGATATCCTACAGGACTTTGTGCGACGCCTGGTCCATTCCATGAGACGAAGATGTGTTGCTTGCATCGCAACCAGAGGTGGACACATACGCTATTGATTTGTAAATTGACATTTTGGCATGTTTTTTTTTTATGAAATCACGCATTTTCTGAAGTCAGTGTGGCAAATTTAACCATTTAAACACTTACAGGAGTCTTTTATCTGTTGCAAATTCTTTCAGATCTGGT